TTCACTATCATTATTGTGGACCAGTTGTGTGAAATATCGACACTTCACTATCATTATTGTGGACCAGTTGTGTGAAATATCGACACTTCACTATCATTATTGTGGACCAGTTGTGTGAAATATCGACACTTCACTATCATTATTGTGGACCAGTTGTGCGAAATATCGACACTTCACTATCATTATTGTGGACCAGTTGTGTGAAATATCGACACTTCACTATCATTATTGTGGACCAGTTGTGTGAAATATCGACACTAAAACCAAGTCCAGATACGTTCATATCTAAGAACCTTTTATGAAGAGTTCAAAATTACATCGGTGGACTAGTTATAAGGAGCTCAATATCACATATTGGGGCTCAGTCCTCAAGCGATTAGCATCGCATCCTTATAGCTATTACTAAAAACTTTTCCTTTGACAAACCATCACAATAATCACAACTTTGAATCCATTTCAAGAGTTACGCAAAAAAAATTATCTTTAAATTCCCGAATCAATTAACGGGAAGCTAACATTATAGCCTGAAACAGTAGGAATAAAGCTTTGAGAAGAAATGTGAAAATCTGGTTAAGATAATCTATTTTCTAAGTATTGTCATTTCCTGTTTTCGTTATCAGTCAATAAATGGGAAATTCCAAACGAATAACATGTACAAAAACTTGTTAGAATAATGGGGAAGTGTTTCATGTGATGCTATATCAATGTTTCAACCGGTCGAAATGAAAGATTGTGTCTGCGACACTTGTTTCGATAAGATAAGAGTATGAAATTAACCGTCTGAAACTGTTTGTTTGGATAAGGCTTAGTGGAAGTTGATCATGCATGGCGTTTTTTAATTTCCGTAAAAATTAGCGGTAAATGCTGAGATTAACAATTAAAACTTGACTATTTCCTGCGATATGTTTACGAAGTCAGACGTATACAAAAATGTTTGGTTGTCAATCGAAAGTTTGTAAGTGGATAGGTGTTTAGTTTGTTAAGTTCAAAGTTACAGAATGAGCTATATGTTTTTAAGCGCTATAAGCCTTCAGATTTACCTGAGCAACTGGAGGAACTAGACGTTTATTAATTTCAAAATCAGTTGGAAAAAAATATTCTAGATAGAATTGCAATGTAACACGATTCTCAGATTTCGCTGAAGAAGGAATGAGTGTATTCCGAAACGTTCGAACCTTGTAAATAAAATGTTTTGTGTTTTATCAACCGTCTTCATCTTCATTATTAGACTTCAGTTTTCCCCATCATGAATCCATTGCTAGTGTTATACCAGACGGTATGAGGCCAACACATTTGTATATCTGTGCGAACGATTGGACCAAAATCATATGATTACTGACGATCAAATACGTTATACACAATTTCCAAAGCAAGTTTGGGGTTTTGATATTTCAGGGTGTATCGTAATTACGCAATAGTAAATTTTAATTTCTTTTTAACAAGGAAATGTTGTATTCTGTGGATGATATCAATAAAATACATATTATCTTTGCCATAAAACAGACTATATGATCAATCGATTCGAAATAAAATTAACGTCATCAGTTTGATGCACATATAATTTTAAAATATACAAAATTGGAAATATACACATATGTTGGTCCCATATTGTTTGGTATACCACTAGCAATGTCAAAAAATATGAGACAGACGAAATAGTCTCTTTTTAAAACAGTCGTTTATTAAATTGAGATTTGTGGTAAATGTACAAAAGGTAGCCAATGAATGCACGTCATGTACAGGTTGTATTGACCAATTGACTTAATAGTATTTTTTCTGTAACCTCTAAAATAACTTAATATT